AATAGGCATAGAATTAGACGGAAAGAAACTATGACCAACATGAGTAATGGGTACAGAAGAACCATCACCGAAGGTGATGCGGTTCGAGGTGGTGACCGGAAAGGAGGAAGTAAGGTTACCGGGGTGCGACGTCATATGGGCGGTAGCCCCCATGTCCATGTACCAATCACCGCCACTTCCGTAGGTGGAGGGAGACGGCGCCGAGTGTAGCGCGATGAGAAGTCCAGGATCCCATAGGGCCGGTGGGAGGGATTAACCTCCGGCTGGGTCGGCGCGGGGGGCGGCACGTAGCCGCCCAGCTGCGGGTAGCCGCCTGGTAGAGGCGCGAGCACCGGTGGATAGCCGCCTCCACTCGCCGGGTAGCCGCCTCCGTTCGCCTGGTACGGGGCAGCGGCGAAGTGCGTCTGTAGGCCGGTGGGGTGCGGACCAAGGATGCCCCTGGCCCGCGGCACCGGCATGTGGTACGCATGGACCATGTCGGTCCATGGGTTGGCACCGACGGACTAGGGCGGGGAGAGCTGATGATGACGTGGAGCCCCCCCACCCCCGTACCCTGGCTATTGCTACTGCTGTGGTGCTCCGGAGCCACCGCCTCCACGGCGCCGATTGCAGCGGCCGCCGTCCTGCTACTGTGGCTGCTGCGAGGGGGCGGGTGGCACTGGCGGGGCCGGCGGGCGGGGGAAATACCCCGGTGGCGCGGGCTGGCACAGGTGAGGCGGAGCCGGTGGAGGCGCCCCGCGAGAGGTCCCGGCGGCGAAGGCGGTGTGGTGGACGCGAGCCTTGACCTTCTTCATCCGTCGGGTTCGGCAGCAGGTTGAGGTTTGAAGCCGCGTTGCCGAAATCCCCATTGAGGCCGGCGGTGAGGGTGCTCAGCATGAGGTTGTCGGACACCTTGGTGCCAATATCGTGGAGCTCGTCAGCAAGCCGCTTAAGGCGCATGCAGTAGTCGTCGATGGAGGAGTCATCTTGATGGCACCCAAAAAATTCCTGCTGCAAAAACACAAGACGTTGGAGCTAATTGTCGGTGAAGAGGGTGTTGATCTTGGTCCACACGGCACACGCGCCGTCGTTCTCCGAGACGACCGTGTGGAAGATGTCCGGCGAGACGGTGAGGTAGAACCACCGGATGAGAGCGGCCTCAATGGCCGCCCAGTCCGGATCGCCCGCTATGATGTCACCATCAATGTGTTCAAGGAGGTGGTACTCGCAGAAGACAAGGTTGAAGTAGGTCTTCCAGGCATAGTACGAGGAGTTGGATTGGTCGAGCTTGATGGGGACGCGGGTGTGGATGTCGAGATCGCGAACGGCAGTGGCGTCGGGCTCCGGTCCGGCGAACGGGTTGAAGTTGCTGGAGGAGGGAGAGGCCATGGAGCTGCGGCGGCAGAGGGAATGCGGTGGCGGCTCGGGTGGGGTTGCTAGTGGCGACGCGGGGTAGGGTTAGGGTTCCCTGGCGCGGCGGCTAGGAGGGGAAGGGAAGGCAGCGGCGGCAGGCGAGGGCGGCGGCTGCGGGATGGAGTGGGTCGCGGCGGCGGCGTACAGCGGTGGCGGTAGTGCAAGAGGAGTGGCGGCGGCGGCTGTAGGGCGGCGGCGGCGGCTAGGGCGGAAGCGAGGAAAGGGATCGGCGTGCTAAACTGATACCATGTCAGTTAGGAAGAATGAGATTGCACGAATCGATAATCATTGATCGTGTGCATGGTGCACATATATAGGTATAGGATGGACCGGCCTCTACTTGTCTCACAAGATGTACAAATATACGGGGGAGAGAGAGATACAACGATATAAATACAGACCCAAGTCCTATACATATGCAGTGGACAACGTACACTCAACAATCCTGAATGCCCAGCATCAGGTTGCACTTTTTTTTTCTTTGATTGCAATTTTTTGTTGCTAGCTTGTCAGGTTGCACTTTTGAGTCTGTTACGTCCGCATATTAAAATTAGCCCAGCGTCTTAGTGTATCACCTAGTATACAAATTTCTTTGCCTAATCCACAGTACTAACGAATCAAACGACGACATATTTTGTTCTCAAAATTTCCACACATAGTTTTTGATAGATATACCAATCAAGTGGCTTATCATTTGAATACTTACAAAATAAAAATCATACTTTTTTCCCAGATTTAATCTCATCTGTGCCCTCTATTTCTCTAAGAAAATATGAAATAATTTAAAATTTACAGCTCTCTGCTCTAAAAGTCCCAACCCCTTCAGGTCAAGGCCCACACCCATGGCAAATAGCCGGCGACAAGGCCTGGCATCCCTCCCCCACCAGGGGCGGAGCCAGGATTTTGGTATGTGGGGGCCAAGTCAAGTTCATAACTTTTTTCTATAGACCAAAAAAATAACTATTATCATACTGTAATTGACGCCACACGCTACAAAACATGGTTACTGTTGTTTGAGTTTATATTTACCTCTACAATTGCCAATAGGATGAAAAATTAATAACTTCATCGGAAAATAACTTACCTTCTAAATTTTCTTCAACATATATGATCATGCAATACCGAGAACTTGAGACAATTTCAGTAGCTCGAATTTGAGACAATTTCAGTAGCTCGAACTTGAAACAACCGGCTTAAAAATGAACTAATCTTAACAGACTCTCAATTAGCTATATTGGATTAGTTCGACACATGAAAATTTTTAATCACAAATAGGAACTCATCCAAAATAATTTGCATCACGATCACAATATTTTGAAGGACAAGTACAAGATAGTAAATTATTCATCGAATCATAGCATCACAAATCACACAACCAATACAATTAAACAGCAAAACTCTGATGTATAAGTTCAACAATCATACAAGATAAGAATTGAGATTAATAGATGGCGTGATGTAGCGAAGCGTTGAACCTTGGATTCTTGGCTAGTTCTTGTTGGCTGGATCCGGAGGATCTAGAAGATTGACAACTGAAGAAGCCTGTGTCGCGCCATCACCGTCGCGGTATAATTTGGATCGGGAGCAGCGAGGCGTCGATTGTAGAGGTGTCCAGGCGGGTGAGGGCACGGAACGACGGCGTACAGGTTATTCAGATTGGAACGCAACGCCTAAACCAGGAGAATAGCCAGTGGCCAACCTGGCCGCTAGTGGGCTTCACTTGGGCCTTTTTCCTTTTCTCTAAAAATTAGCGTCGAGATAGGAGGGGCCGAGTATGTATATATGTGTTGAATAGGTGCGCTTGTATCACTAATTCTATGG